AAAGAGAGTATTTTAGTCTTTTTACTTCTTTTTTCTTTCTTCTCCATTGCTTCTCTTTTCATTCTTCTCCACGAGCTTCTCCATTATTGCTGCTAGTGGAGAAGAAACTAATGGAAAAGAAAGAAAGAAAAAAAAAAGTAAAAAGACTAACATGCCCTTTTTATTTTACCTATTAATATTTTTTGATGAGTTTTGACCTGAAATTTGGTCGGAGTGACAAAAATTGATAAAAGTTGAATAGTTAAGGTACTAAATTGACAATTTTAAAAGTCGTGAATTGAAGTTAACAAGACTCAATAGTAATAAGACCAAAAGTGAAATTAAATCCATCGGTTATACACAAAATATAAAATTATAGACGTTGGTTCACTAACCAAGTCTAAAGTACCATAATTACATCGGTTATACACAAACTAATATAAGTTTTTTTTTTAAATAATAAATACCTTTGGTGTTGGTTTTAGGAAAGAACCGCCGTCTATATAAGAGTGTAGGTGTTGGTTCTCTATTAAACCAACGTATTATGTTTTTTTTTTTTAATTAAAATTTAATTTATTAAATTTAATAACAATTTTTTTTGTGTAAACCACAATGTGGTCACAAAAGCTGGCCCAAAGGGAATCGTCACTTGTGGGGATTGAACCCGGATTATCTCAAAATTTTTCCTGACAAAGAGAACTCATTTTCCACTTGAGCTACCCTGTTGGGTTGAAATTTAATAACAATAGACCAAAGAACTGACGTCTGTTGTTTAAAAAAAAACCACCATATTTTAATATTTTAAAGAGTTAATGACCAATTTGGTCCTCCGACTATTGCGAAACTACTGATTTAGTCCTCGACTATAATCCATACCAAATTAAGTCCTCAACTTTTTAATTTTTACCCGATTTCGTCCCCCGTCTCTTTTACGTGAACTCTCCGTCTTCCCCAGGGACAATAATGTAAATACACACGGGTCTCTCTCTCGCCATTGGAATTGATTTTAGGGCAAATAATTTTGGAGCTTTCGAACGCTAATATGGGGGAGATGACTTAACTCTGACAGCTCACCGGGAGCTCACCGCCACCTGCAACGACAGCGTTTTCAAAACAACCTCCCCAAGGACACCATCTTCCCGCCGCTCATTCCGATGTCAGAATCATCGCTGCCGGGAGTTACATCACTCGACATCTAAGGAGCAGAGGCTGGAGTTGGAGGAAGAGAAAAATAATCGGGCAGAGCGGTAGCATTCATCAGGGACGACAATAGAGAAGCGAGATCTCTAAGCAAAGGAGACCGAGCTGAGACGGAGGAGAAACATCACCGGATTCAGGCGAGGGAGAGAGGCTGTCGGGTCTGATTGTTGATCGGCCACCATCGCCTTCCGCCGGAGTTGGTGCCAACTGGTTTTCGTCAGCGGGGCAGTTCCTGACGATCCCATTCTAGTAATTTTCTCAACCCCCATTGTTCTTCTGTTCTGCTCTTTCTCTGTTCGATTAAAGACCCCAAGCAAGCTAAGGAAAGATGTTGATGAGCACAGTGTTGTTGGCACTTGTCTTCACCCTTGGTTTCATCATCACCACTTTATTCAATTTCTCTACCAAGGTGTTCCTTTCATGGGTTCACTCCATCTCTGCCAAAACCGCCTCTTCAAAAGCCCCACCGACCAAGAAATCCATAGCGGAAGAGAAGAAGGTGGTGAGTAGTACTGGGAGCAATCACAGCAAGGTGGAATTGAAGGTCGTTTTTGCGACTTTCGACAATAACAGTGATGGGTTCATAACGAAGCAGGAGCTGGAGGAGTCGCTGAGGAACATTGGGATAGTTATGGAGGATGGTGAGATAGCGGAGATGGTGGAGAAGGTGGAAGAGAATAATGATGGGCTGGTGGATCTTGACGAGTTCTGCCAGCTCTACAACTCGTTCTTGGGCGTGGAAATGGCAGCTGGAGATGGTGATTAAGAGAATCTTGATGATCTAAGAGAGGCGTTTGATGGGGACAAAGATGGGCTGATCAGTGAAGAGCAGCTGAACAGAGTTCTTTCATGCCTGGGCTTCAACCAAGGGAAGAGATTAGAGGCATGCAAGGAGATGATTAGAAGTGTGGAGCTCACCGCCACCTGCTACGACACTTCCGCAGCTTGCTGTGTGTATTTACATTATTGTCATGGGGAAGACGGAGAGTAGACGGTCAAAGAGAGGGAGGATGAAATCGAGTAAATATTGAAAAGTTGAGGACTTAATTTGGTAAGGATTATAGTCAATGATCAAATCGGTAGTTTTGCAATAGTCGGAGGACCAAATCGGTCATTAACTCTATTTTAAATTATATTTACTAACAATAGACTTAAAACTATTTTTAGTAAACCTACAAGTAGAAATTATATTTATTCCAATTAAAACAAACATATCTAAAATTATTTTACATATAAAGTTTAAAAATCACTCGAAATTAAACTTGTGTTAATTTTATAACGTTAATCTAAAAAAAAATTAATTTGAAAAATTGAGTGTTAATAAACAAGTTTTCTAAACAGAAAACAGAGAATGAAAACTGAAAAATTAGAAAAGAGAGAACATAAAACAGTTTTCGTTAGTAAATGGGCTCGTAATTCTTAAATAAAATTATGTTTATAATGACACCACAAATTTATTAATTTATATCTTATAAGAGAATTGCCAAAATTAGCTTCACATTACCCAAAGGATGTTGCATATTAGTATAGCATTTTGGTTATATATATATATATATATATATATATATATATATATATATCAGGGTTGTAAAAATCCCGCCTAGGCACCGCACCGAGTAATCGGTGCCTAGGCGCTAGGCGCCCCTAGGCTATGGCGATTTCCCCCCTAGGCTCCCGTCTAGCGCCTAATTCAGCTGCCTAGCGACTAACTCGTCCGATTACGCCGAGTTAACTCGTCATTTTCTGTCGAGTGTGTGTGTGTGTGTGTGTGTAATATGACATATATATGCACTTAAACACGTGCAATATTTTTTTTTTTTTTTTTACAATTAGCCGCCTAGGCCGCTTAGGCCCCGTCTAGGCGCTAGGCGCTACTCTACTGCCCGACTAGCGCCTTAACGCCTATTGCAACCATTATATATATATATATATATATATATATATACACACACACGTACGATCGTGTGGCTTTACAGCATTATGTGTGCACAAGTGCACCACCATGTGTTTAAAAATGTACTAGATAGGGTGTGGTGCATTTTACAAATCGATTGGTGCTGAGTGGTGCATTTGTAAATGCACCGCACCCTGATGCATTTCTAAACACATGGTAGTACATTTGTGCATACATAGTGGTACAAAGTTGCACGATCGCACAGGAAGCAGTAACCGCACTAGATTTTACCCACACACACACACACACACACACACACACACACACACACACACACACACACACACACACACACACACACACATATATATATATATATATATATATATATATATATATATATATATATATAGTTAGGATCATATGAGAACATGTACTTAGGTGAGAACGTGAGAACACATCATGTCCATCCATCTAATATTTTTTAATGGTCTAGATTAGATTAAGTGTGTGCGAACGCGCATTAAATGTGTGCAAACACACTAAATCGCATTAAGCGGAATAATGCACTGCATTAAGCGGAATAATGCACATCCTCACAACCTACAATATAATGCACTACCCCTGACAAATATTTCCCAACAACAAAAAATAAATAAATAAATAATTCCCAAAGCATACCCGACGACCTCTAACTAATGCACAACCCAGAGCCCTACGTTGCATCACACTTAGCGCACAAATGCACATCTCAACGGTCTATGATGCACGACCCCTCTAAAATTACTTATTAATCTACATACCTAATCAAAAGCATACTCCAACGAAAAAAAAAAAAAAAAAAAAAAACTTCAATCCATGACGAAAGCTCACAATAACCAACAACGAAAAATTACAGTCTAAAATTGAAGAGAATAAACATTAAATCTTAGCCATCAGATCCTGCCCAATGAATAGCTCAGATTAGACCATAATTCTCACTTGAGGAGTATATATGTGTGTGTGTGTGTGTGTGTGTGTGTGTGTGTGTGTGTGTGTGAACCTACCTACCTAAGAACATATGCACACCCTTGATGTTGCATCATCCCACGGCCCAGAACATGGTGTACAAAAAATGTCAACTCAGGATGCGGTGCATAACGTTTGTGCATTGCGTTATATACACTAATCTAGATAAAGGATCTAGATTAGTTCTCAGGTTCATATGTTAATATAGGTTCTCATCATATGAACACGAACACACACACACACACACACACACACACACACACACACACACACACATATATATATATATATATATATATATATATATATATATATATATATATAATTATTTATTTATTTATTTTAATTTTATATTTATAGGGTGTGCATAGGTTCTCAAGTTCACACAATAAGGTAGGTTTTCACCCGAACATTAACGGAGGGTTCATGCATGTGAGAGCATATTCCTAGGCACACAATGAGAATGAATCTGATTCATGCATTTGAATAGATCAATAATGGTTAAAAGTTGCTAAGAAATAAAGGAAAAAATAGCAATGTTAATTTATCAATATATACACACACATAAAGAAAGGGGAATAAAAAAAATACAGTGATAATTTTATAAATAATACTCCGTAACTAACTCAAACTTTTAAGTGTATCACAGATAATTATAACGTGTACCAGCTAAAGTATAAAATGTATTCAATGATATTTAAATGTGCAGTGGTATCAATATCTACAACCTAACTCTAAAAAATGTATGTGTGCAGGGCTTAGCTAAATGGCATGCACAATGGAATTTCAATATCTACAACTCTATAGCTTTCATATATCACTAATTAAATGGCATGCACAAGCTAGGGAATTTAGCTAGCTAGGAATTAATTGCAGTATATATAAGGATCGGATGACATATAATATATATGTGTGTTATTGCAAGTGTTGGGATATATTGATTTGAGTTTTCCGGCTTAAAGACAAATCAAATCAAATAAGAAATAAACATGAGCAAATGATGATAATGATGATTCAAACAATAAACACATATGATTAGATGATATATATCATGGGTAGAAGCCTCCTTTGTACTTGTCGTATCTTGAGCTTCTGTTGCTCCTGAGAGCACAGCATCCAACGGAGTAGACGAGGATGACGAAGGCGAGGATGCAGACGTTGATGATGGCGAGTTTCTTCCAGTCTTTCCGGAGGCTTTCGAGCACCGCCGTCTTGCAGGACTCGCAGTCGAAGCATAGCTCCGTCTGGTCGTTGCTCCACTTGTTGCAGTCTTGGTGCGGCACCGCCGGCCCCCCTTTCGGCATCGTCCAGTAGGTCGCGTTGTGGAACTCAAAGCCGCAGTAACTGGGCGGCTTGCAGCAACCCGACTGCATCGTAGTATATGCATCAACTTAATTATCACATCCATCCATATATAATAATATAATAATCACTCCACCCTTCAATCAATTCTCTCTCTCTGTGTGTGTGTATATATATATATATATGGGGGGGGGGGGCGGGGGAGAATGACTGAAATGTACCATTTTATGGAAGAAGAGATAAGGATATGACGCTTTTCAAAAGTTGTATAAAATAGAAAAAAATTCATTTGCTACTTGAGTTATGTATATTTTTGGTCAGAAACCCAAATTACTAATGAATTTTTCAAAAATTAAAAATAATATTTTTTTTTTTGTTAAAATACCACAAAATGCATGTCCCACGTATATTTCTCGTGCATTTTATAGTATTTTAATTAGCGGGAAAAAAAATCATTTTGACAAGAAACTTGAGTGGCAAATTAGTTTTTTTCTATTTTGTACAACTTTGAAAAGTGTCTTATTTTTATCTCTTCTACAAAATGTCACATTTTAGTCAAAAATTCTATATATGTTAGGGGGGACTCAGTAAGTGTCAAGTGCGCAAGTCCATTTAGTTAGAGGATTGTAGGGCGGAGACTGGTGGAGGGTCAAATCAGTGATAATGCAAAAAAGGAAATAAAATTGGACTTAGTAGTTATAACTTTGGGCATAGTATTAAGCGCTTGATAACTTAATTCTAACAATCAATTCTCTCCTCTCCCTCTCTCTCTCTCTCTTTCTATATATATATATATATATATATATATATATATATATATATATATATATATATATATATATATATATATATATATATATATATGGAAGAATGATTGAAATGTACCATTTTATGGAAGAAGCTAGAGATAAGGATATGACACTTTTCAAAAATTGTAAAAAATTGGAAAAAACTCATTTGCTACTTGAGTTATGTATATTTTTTGTCATAAACTCAAATTACAAATGAGTTTCTCAAAAATTAAAAATAATTTTTTTTTTTTTGTTAAAATACGATAAAATGCATGTCCCACATGTATTTCTCATATCTGGCCAGGTACTGTGAACATGAGAGATGCATGTCCCACATGACGGAGCCAGAAATTTGGTTAAGGGGGGCGAAGAAGTAGGGACGGAATCAAAAAAAAATTCCAGTAAAGGCATATCTCATTATTAATATAAAAAAAATGTTATATATATGTGTGTATTAAATATTAAAAAAACTATTAAAAACGTGACTGTGTTGAAATCATAGGGAAGGAGTCAAAAAACTCAACATGTGTTCAACCAACTCATCTAAATCAACTCTTGTTGACATTTTATAGTGTTATTTTACTAATACTAACACATGTACTATATATACATATATACATACAAAAATTATATATGGGGGTGGAGTGAGGGGGAGGGGGGGCAGCTGCCCACTGTCCCCCTTTGGCTCCGTCTCGGGCGGCATGCATTTTATAATATTTTAATTAGCGGAAAAAAATCATTTTGACAAGAAACTCGAGTGGCAAATGAGTTTTTCCTATTTTGTACAACTATGAAAAGTGTCTTATTTTCATCTCTTCTACAAAATGTCACATTTTAGTCAAAAATTCTATATATGTTAGGGGGAACTCAGTAAAGTGTCAAGTGCGCAAGTCCATTGAGTTAGAGGATTGTAGGGCGGAGGCTGGTGGAGGGTCAAGTCAGTGATAATAAAGAAATAAAATTAGATCTTTGTTACTAGTTATAACTTTTGGTAAAGTATTAAACGCTTGATAACTTTTGACATAGTAGTAAGTACTTGATTTTGACAAGTGATATCAGAACCACCAGGTCAGTCGTGGCAGGTGCAAAGAGTAGTCCAGCACCAGGCTCTAAAAATGTGTGGTCAGTCTAGTACTCTTACTCTAAAGAAATAAAGTTCAAAGTCAAGACATTAAATGTAAAGAATAGTCTAGCACCTTATCTCTCGAAAATGTAATGCCTACTTAGTACCTCAAAAAATATAAGAAAATAAAATTGATCATTTGTTACTATTTATAACTTTTGAAGACTAGATAAGTGTTTGATACTAACGATATATATGTAAGGATCGGAGGTGCAGATGAGATTACGTACTGACCTGAGTAGGAGAGAGGCTATGCTTGTAATAGTCGGCGCTCTTGCCGGTTGAGAGACTCTGGCAGAGGCGGATATCATGCAAGCAGCTCTTAATCTGATCCCAATTTTGAGCATTGAGAACATACTTCTGCAACCAATGGGAGTAATCCCCGAGGCGAGCGGCCTTGTAACCCTTGCCGGAGAGAGCGTTTCCGACTCCCTTGTTGGTGACGATGATGGTGAACAACAGGAAGCAGAAGATGCCGAGGATGAGGAAGAACATGACGGTGAGATACACCCAGAGGAAGAAGGAGATGCGGAAGCAGGAGCCGATCAAGCCGAACATGGAGACGAAGAGAAGGGAGAGGCCGAGGATGACGAACGGCTTCTGGAGGACCTTCTGGCACAGGGAGGCGCTAGGGTTGAACTGGATCCAAACCGCCATGCCGATGGCCACCACGCCGAGCAGTAGGGTCAGGAGGTTGAGGAATCCGATGATCGCATTGCTCACGCGAACCATTTCAATTCGATCGATCGATCAAATCGGAGCTGATGATGATCCGATCCAGCTAGCGATGAGAGATCGATTTCAGGGAGGGAGATCGATCGAGCTAGCCCTAGAAATTTGATGGCCTGGAAAGAATATAATATAATTGGGATTATTTGATGGAAATGGAGGGAAGGAGGGAGGGAGGAAGAAACTATGTGCATGCGGTGATGAAGAAGAGATAGATGGCTACGATAACTGCTTTCGTTCTTTCTCAAACCAATTAAAACGTAGGAAACGGTTAGTTAATTCAATTATGCCCTTGAGTACGTTGAATCTATACTCATTTCGCTTTTACCCTCCATGTTTTACTAATTTACCAAAATACCATTTCTTGTTTTGCCTGCTACTATGTCCATACACTATAGGAAAAATGGTCAAATAGACACTTAAACTTTACTTAAAAAGTCAATTAGGTCCTTAAATATTTAAAAATTTGTAATTAAACACATCAGCATGTTATTTTGGTGCATTGAAACACAAAAACGGGTTAGTGACCTACTATTGCAGGTCACTAGGGTTGTTCTAACGCTATTCCGATCACATTCTGGCCACCCCACTGTCGTTGGTCGCCATTGAAGAAGGCTGTTGTCGCCTTCTCAAGTGAGAAGGCAACCATCTCATTGGGTCGCCTTCTGCCTGAAGAAGGCGACTGGTCGTCAGTGTTTGTTGCCAGAATGTGGTCAGAAGAGCACCAGAGGGTCGCCTGAACTATAGTGACATGCTGTTGCAGGTCACTAATTAATTTTTGGCCTTCAATGCATTAAAATAAATTAGCTTAATTGTAACTTTTAAATATTTAAAGACTTAATTATTGACTTTTTGAGTAAAGTTTATTAGCCTATTTTACCCTTTTTCCCTACATGATACAATTTAGTTCCAAACTCTTTTTTTAGTAACAATTTTCATGTTAGAAATTCAATGATTTTGTCCTATATTTCTCTATCATATATATCCCATAAATAAATTTAGAATGAGGTTATTTTTTAAGACAAAAGTCTTATGTACTAAAATTATAACATAATAATTGTCAGATCAATTGATGTTTTAAAAAAGATTTATTTCTCATTATGACTATCCAATTAATCATCTAGACTTATAATTAATAGACCTTTATTTCCCATCTAAGCACTAAGTTGGATCTATATTAGTATCTCAATAACATGAATACCAAATGCTCTATGCAGAAAGATATCTTTTTTCTTATAAATAATTACTTTTAATTTTCTATAAACTCAAAAAGGATTTTCATATCAAAGTGAGCAGCTGTTAAGTATATATAAACAAAACACATTAATTATGGCCATTAAAACTACTCAAATACATTCAAGATACTCCCTCCAGGCTCCGGCCTATTTTGTATGTCTAATTCAATTAACAAAATATTACTGAAACTATTTACATTTCAAAATTTTCATAATATTAAATTGAAAAAAAAAACATATATTAACAATTACATTAAAAGTACGGAGTACTATTAAAAAACAAAAAATCAAAGTTAAAAGTTATAAGATAATGCTAATAAAAATAAACATAAAAAAAAAGGAGTTGATTTCACCCATGAATAGTAAATAAAACAAGTAAAATGATTCAACAACGCGGCGAGCTCCATGGTGTGGCGGTTGCAAGGGGAGCACCTAAAATCACTCGTCTCCTCTTTGGAGATGATAGCTTCTTCATCTTCTTCAAAGCTAACCCAATTGAGACACAAAATTTCAAGTTTATTCTGGATGACTACTCTGGTGCCTCTGGAAAAACCACATACTGGCTTCATGAAACTCAATGTTGGCGCGGTGGTTGACACGGGCACACGGCTAATGGAAACTAGGTTTTAGTTGGATCCTTCGTAATGGCCAAGGTATTTTTGTAGCAGCTTCCAGCGTTTCAAGGTCTAGTTTTTGTTCTCCTAAGGAAGCGAAACTTTGGCAATTCGGGAGGCTCTTAGCTGGCTTAAAACACTCAACTACAATAAGTCCAAGTTTAGCTGGCTTAAAAGTTAAAACACTCAACTACGACAAGTCCAAGTTGAATCAGACACCCAAACTGTGGTCCAGTCGCTCAGTCGTCGTTCAATCTTGTTATCCTAGATGTTCAAGATTTACTGCCACAATTTGCTAATGTAACAAATTCTTTTGTTAAATGTTATGCAAATGGAGTAGTCCACTTGCTAGCTCGTGACTCCATTTCTAAAGCAAATCGTATGGAGTGGTTTAGTGACCCTCCTAACTTTATCTGTAACTCTCTTTGTTGTGATCTCTCGTCTTGAATCTAATGCTTTTTCTCTCAAAAGAACGAGTAAAAGAGACAGGAGTAGTATATTATAACTGGTTAGATGATCCTGCAACTTTTATCAGAAGCTAATACACTGCCCAGTAACAAGATTTCTGTACAATCTTGCTGGGAAACAGACTAGGATTCCTCCAAAGATGCAAATTTTGACAACTGGGAATTTCTAATCTATGCCCATGTTGTACAAGGTTATGCAATTAAAAGAGTTCATAAACATCTTCCATTAGTAGAGCTTGGATATCTTCCTGAGTTTCTTGCTGCTCTACTAAGTTTGAATGGCCGGACCCATGTACCTTCCCGAGCGCATATAGAGATTGTCCGGTGTATCAGTTGCAGTAAGCCATGCATACTCATCTTCTTTTCCATGGACAATAGCATCTTCATCTCCTGCACCTGCAGAGTAAATTTCCAAACATATAACCAAAATACTAATGTATCTTGTTAATCCCAATGCCTTGGCTTCCCATTATGAGGCAAAAACTTGTGTGAGACCGTCTCACGAATCCTTGTCCGTGAGACAAGTGACTTAAGATGAAAATGTAATACTTATACTAGAAAATGTAATATTAATCATAAATAAAGTGTTTTTTACTTATAAGGAGAAGCATAATACTTTTGAAGAAAAATGTAATACTTTTACATTTTGATTTAAAAATATTACATTTTTCTCAAAAGTATCACATTTTCCCTTATAAGTAACTAAGTAAGGGACACTTTATTCCTGATTAGTATAAGTATTACATTACTATCTTGACCTGACCCGTTTCACAGATAAGGATCCGTGAGACAGTCTCACAGGAGAGTCACTCCTATTCTGAAGCTAAAAGCAGGAGAGAAAGACATGAGAAAGAAGTACACACCAAAGCTGGAATAAGGGTAATCATGGTAGTAGGTGCATCTTCTGCCTGCGGCTTCATCATAAGGAGGGGCAAGAATGTCAAGCACGGCACAAGGTGTGACAGCGGTAAAACAGTGCAGATTTCCTCCACTTTTGGGGTACAAAACAGATGGACCACAAGGCGCCGTCACAACTCTATCAACAGACAGCTTAGCTAATCTCACTGCAAAGGTATAGGAGCAGTTGAAGCCATGACACTCAAGTAGTTAAAATGGCTTCTTTTTTTTTTTTTTAAACAGTTAAAATGGCTTTAGAAATGGAAAAAACTAAGAAATTTTTAGATCAAATAGTGAAATTATATATTATAAGACATAATTTTCATAAGGAACCTCTCAACTTGATGCTTCTACAACTCCCATGTAGGAAATTGGAACACAGGATGTTTCAACCAAACTAAAACAAGTTCACAAATAAAGATTAATAAGCTCTTTGATCATCAAAACAGGTTTGTAAGCTAACCTGCAGGCTGACCTGTTTGCTCACTTTTCCGGATGCAAGGTGGCTCAACCCAATCATAACCTTTTACATGCAAGGAGCCATAGAGAACTTTGCTCAAGACAGTCATTCCAGGGTGATCATGCAGAGGAATAACCGCGGAAGTGGGGAAGCAAAATATGCACATCTGCAGGGTAAATACATAGTTTGGCCTAAAAGCTACCTAAAAATTACTACTTGAAAATTAACTACACATTTCATTTTAAGGAAGAACAGGAGAACAGAGTGCCATCAAATCCAGCAAGTATTTTAATGGATAAAACTAAAACACTTGGAGTACAAAGTAAGCAAGTAAAATTGCATACAGGGCATGGATCTTAATAATAAAAAGGGATAAAATTGTCAAAGAAATTGCAGAGCTGAGGAATGCAATTGCAAAAGCATGACTGCCTTCCTATTAAAAAATTGCATTTTGCACTTAAACCAAGTGATGCAAAATTCCTTGGATCAAGGATGGCCATTATGCTATTTAATAGTTTAATGTATTTGATGGGAAATGAAAGTTCCAACCCAAGAAGTGTTCTATCAGAGAAAACAAAGCCGAATCCCATCTTGAGATGATAAATAACGGTACTTACCTGCATAATGGAATCCTGCATATTTGTAACACAATGCTATAATTCTACAAAAGGAAGCTAGAAGTTTCTCAACAAAGCATTCAAAAGAAGAAAAGAAAAACACATCTATGGAAATGACTATATTCACAGTTCTCACATCCCAAAGGTAATGATTTTGTTGACACTGTTAGAAGCTGTGAAGCCTCAAAGAACTGCAAGGACATTCTTTCAGGTGGGAGCCACAGTGTTCATACATGCATGAGAAAGTATCTTCAGATATTTCTACAAAAGAAGAATTTGAAGCCAAGGGCCTTATTTAGAGTATAATGAATAGGAATAAATATAAAGACCCACTAATTGAATAAATAACTCACCCGCTTTAATATTTTATATCCACTCCAAAAGCTAGAGGTTCTATCACCTTTTTTTTTTTCCCTTTACACTACCATTTGAAGTATACCAATTGCTCTTCTCACCAAGAAGAAAAATGAACAAACAACAATAAAGTCGGGCCTCATTAAATTAAGATTTTTCTAAGGTTATTGTGAATGGAAGAGCAATCTATTTAACTTGGAACCGAAACTCATACCTTGCTAAAGGTGTTACCTACATGTTATTTAATTTGGAACTGGAATTTACCCTTACCTAGAGGTGTTACCTACATGCTACAAAATTGTGAAGTCAATATAGATAGCCTTTCTTGCATCCATAGCAGAAGTCAGATTTGCAGACAAGATCTTACTGTAAAGCTTTGTCCCTCGTGGATATCTACATATGTTATCGGTTGAGCCCATCTATCCACTCGGTTAAATACATTAATTCCAAAAAGACCATGGCCCCTCTCATCCTCTTGACTTTCATCTTTCAGCCCAACATCTTCGGGTCCAATTGTATCTACAAAAACCATAAAATGTGTCATCAAAACACTTATAGCACAAGGAATACACATATGAATCCCCAAAATGTGAATTTCTACTTAATATGGTCATAGTTGCACAATATTACTATGTTCTCATTAGCTTATTCCATTAAGCAATCTTTTTAAAAGTAAGCTAAACAGCGCAAAGTAAAACAAATTTGTCACTCACTTTCCAAATAAAAGATTAGAGCACTCCAATTCCCTTCCAGAAATGAGAAAATAGATTTTGTAATTGTTGATTATCCAAACAAATGCATCTCATTACAAACATTTTTTTTTCATTTCTCTTTTCTATCAGCATTACCCGATATTCAGTTTCCATAAATCAACATTGAGGACAACAGAAGCAACCTTAAATAAAACAAAATTAATTCACAGAATCTCAAAAGAATCAAAGATTTAAATCATCGGAATAGATTTATAATTAACTAAGAACAAAGAAGCATGGAAATATATTTTTCTAAATGAGGAAAAAAAAAAACAAAAAACAGAAAGAAAAATTAAGTACCAAGTAAGGAAGAGAGCTTGTGGATGGCTTGAGGAGATGGTTGGAGAGTTACAGATGGCGTGAAGGTCTTCTTGGAGAGATCATAAAGAGCTTGAATCGAAGAACTCTTCGCGTTCATGGTGAAGAGCCGTCGAATCGTTAGCACACACATTTTGATATACAGCGGTTTGGGTCGGTGGAGAAATATCAGACACCTTATCGAGTGTATTTGAGAATAATCGAAAATTTGAAGGGCAACAGTATAAATTCGATTATTGAATAATCGTATTTATTTGAGGGCCCAAGGTTTTTGGTAGAACTGTGGACATGGGTAGACGGGACAGGTTAAAAAGTTCGTCAAAATACGGATCTAAAATAACTCAGCTTGTCTCGCCCCGTCTTAAACACGCAAGTTTTGCCGGAGCCGTCAAATTTGAAAAATGTAAATTTAAAAAAAAAATTAATATGAAAAAGTTAATAAGTGTATACTAAAATAATTTGAATAGTTTAAACATATTTTAATGCATTTGTAATTTGTTAAACACAATAATAACTACTAAAGTAATAAGTCCAAATAAATAATCAAATATATAATGTGTTAATCTATAAGGCAATAACAAATAATTTATACAATGTACTATTTACTAATATATATATATATATATATAGAATCCGGATCAGGTGAGGACCTAATTTTAGGTGAGGACGTGATGACTAATCTTGTGCGTTTGTTTTTTTATTTGGATGGTCCAGATTTGAGTTCTTGAGATGACATGGATTGATCTTTTTTGTTTTTTTTTTTTTTTTTTTTGAATGCGATTGATCTTTTTTGTTAAAGTGGGATAATAGTGTCTTTTTCTATTTTTTTAAGTGTGAACGCATGTATAATCCTTGGCCAAATTGGTTTCCTATTTTCTTGGATCATCATCGTTGCAATTTGGAGCCGCGATTTCTTCATCATTGATTGAGTGTTCGCCCATGCAAACTAATCAGTATTTTTTATTTTTTTTCGCTTGTTCTTTTGAGTATAATATTGTCTATAATTGAATTGTCGTGTATATGTATAAATGCCTGGGTAGTACGATTGTGCATTCGTGTGTGCTGATTGTGCAACCTAGTGTTGTAAGTTGTGCACTATAGGCTAGGGAGTTGTGCATTATAGCACATAGTTCAATGCATCGTAGAACATTGGATGTTCACTGTATGATTTTTTGGCGTGGTTTGAATGCACAACAATGAAGTTATTGATGCACAACACTCAGTATAGGAATGCACAACATTTTGTATAGGAATGCACATCTTTTAATAAGACTGATTTACCCTAAATTTATATATTTTAATATTTTAAAGGGATTTGTTTTCTTAATCCGTGTGATTTGTTTCTTTTAATCTCAATCATACATCATTCTGATTTAATGGTCTAGATTAGTCCTCACGTCCTCACCTAAGATTAGGTCCTCACCTGATCCGGACCCTATATATATATATATATATATATATATATATAGGGTTGAGTTCAAATGAGGACAACAATATATAGAGGATTGTGAAGATTAATAATGGGCACACAACAAATTAATACCAGGTACACAACTTAATACATAATGGCACACAAGAATAAATGTAAACATCAGGTTTCGAACCCAGGCTCTATAAATTAACAAATCTAGCACGCGACATACAAACTGTGGCACACGACTACATTCGGCCATGCACACAACATACCAGCTAATGGCACACACTACATTTGTCCTCACAGTCCTCTATAATATACTTGTCCTCATTTGAACACACACACACACACACACACACACACACACACACACACACACATATATATATATATATATATATATATATATAACATGAAGATTTGACGGAACATAACCTGAAACAGGTCTAGAAACTATTTCAGGTTATTATTTTACAGTTGGATAAGGAAATAACTACTTTGAAGTGATTTACAAGATTATCCTTATTTAATTGAGAGAACTGGCGATTGATGACTATTCTCTCAATTAATACCTTAAGGGTGAAAGAGTATATGTTCTTAGAGAGATGCTTGTTATGGAGAAAAGATGAGAACCTTGTGTTGATTTACTTTACTTAATTATTGTTTGATTTATTTTATTGCACACCCGGTACTGAAGAGGGGATGGTGTTGACACCCAAATTTGGGGCTAGCCTTAGCTCGCTGATACTGGGGACCTAGCACTGCACACTGTTTGTATTGAGGAATTGCAAGAAGCAAAAGTCAATAGCTTGCTGACTGGGGAGGGAAGGTGGGATGTAGACGTTTTGCGTGACCTTTTTTTATTGGAGAGTGATGTTTGTAGGATCCTTGCAACGCCGATTTCCCCTCATTTTAAAGGTGCATGGAGATGGAAGGGTGATTTGAGGGGGTTGTACTCGGTTAGACAAGGTTATCGCTTACTCACTAGCAGAAGCCTAGTTACAGACCCTCAAACCTCTTTTACTATTTGGGTTAGGCTCTAGAAGCTGCCGATGCAACCTAAGTTGAGGAATCTGTTGTGGAGATGTGCCCATAATATTTTGTCAGTTTGAGAAGCACTGCAGTCTATAAGAATATAGGTGGGTGGTGGATGTGTGTTCTGCGATTCAGATGAAGAGACTATTGAGCACATATTATGTGATGTGCAGTTGCATGCTAAATTTGGGGCAATAATGACATTCTCCAAGGGAGATGTTCACCGGAACATATGGAATCCATATTAAGCTCCCCGAACGAGGCTCAGGCAGTGCGTATTATGGCCATCCTGTAGACGGTGTAACGAGAAGGTGTGGCGTAATGGTGTATGGTCAGTTGACGAGATTCGTAGTCAGGTGGATGGATTCGTAGAGCAGTGCCAGCAGCCTTTGGACGCCACTATCGGTTAACAGCTTGAGATGAAATGTTGACACAACAATATTTGAGGATGGAGCGGTGGTGCGTGACCATGATGGTAGGTTTGTAGCTGTTAGGTGTGGTCGACTTGACTGCGATCGTGATCTTGACCTGGCTGAAGCAATGGCAGTCAAAGAAGCATTAACGTGGCTGACTTGCTCAATGACCTTAGTAGGAGTAATGTTACAGTAGAGACGGATTGTTTAAACTTTTGTGTCGCATTCGTTTTCTTTATACCTTTATTATGTTACAGTAGATACAGATTGTTTAAACTTTTGTGTCGCTTTAATTCGTTTTCTTTAGACCTTTCTTATGTTGGTTTAGTTGTTAAACAATGTCACATGATTGCTAGAGATACCGAGAACATCTCTATTCGCCATATCAGAGGTTTTTCGTTGTCCTAGGTTCGTGGGTATCTTCTCCGCCTCCTTGTATTTGTATTTGTTCTATACTTTCTCTAAGTATTGCAGCTCAAAGAGTCAATACCCTACCACCGGGGTTCAATCCTATGACCTTCCCTCAAGAGGAGCCACAAAGGTGCCATTTGAACACAATGTGCTTGGCAATTGTGAATATCATATTCAAATTAATCTAAAAATACATATATTATATAGGTTATTAATCAGGTGAGAACAAGGTGTTAGGTGTGTTTGTGAGGTCAGATCGACACCGTTAGATCATTAGCACCGCATGGTCAGGATTGTGGCTGTGCAATCCCATCTTTTGTGGGATTTTTTGCGCTTGTGTTAGGGAAGTGAATATTTGCACCTGGTTATTTGCGTAATGTTTTTTTTTTTTTTTTTTTTTTTTTTTTTTTTTTTTTTTTTTTTTTTTTAAGAATCATTCGTTGTAACACCCCCGATTTTACCAAAATTTAAAAGCTTAAACAAGACACATAAAGCTAAACATTAATCATTAAACAACGGAAGCAACGTCTAAACACGGAGGTGCTATGCCACACCTATATCAAACATAGGTGCACAGGCAAACTACTAAACAAACCACAGCAGCTAACGGTTAAACTAACTAGGTTCACAGGCCATAAACAACTAGAAAAGCATAAGGAGCTACACTAGGCTATTACGGTCGACTAGCGCGCTCTTCAAAGCTACTCAAAACCTGTAAAGAGATAGGGATAACACCAGTCAGCGAAAGATGTTGGTAAGTCACCAATACGTGTTAAGTATCAAAATATATAGATATAAGCAAAACCATTTGAGATAGAGGAATACAGTATATATATCATTTTAAAACCAAGGGAGGAAACATCAATAGACTCATCAATTCACTCTCAACAAGGCAATAGAACAACAAACAACATACTCAACAATAGATACTACCTACCATACTCAAGGTAGGGTTAATAATAGACATGCTCATAATCAATAAAGCGAGGTTCATACTCACAACATGTTTCAAGCCCACATAGGACATAGCCAAACCGAAGCATACATCAAAGAGTCATCTCAACGACCCAAATCATAGTGGACCAGTGTGGAGGACTCCAAATCATCAATCACATACCATAGAGTAATCACAATGACGAGGACCGCATCCCAATGGAAACAGATCTAGCAACTTTAAGTGTATACACCCCCTATTAAGATTCCAAGCTCAACGGGTTAGTTACTATCACTGGCAACTGGAATGAGTTTCCCAAGTTGCCCACAAATCATAAGTATCCAAACGACAATCCGGAGCTTTAAACCCACTACCGGATCAGTTCACACATAAGTCCCCACACTGTCCACTTTACCCGCTCAATCATCTCATCATATCCATTCCAACATCTCAACAAGAGTCAATACACACGAAATCTAGAGATACAACAAAGCATAGATTCCACACAAAGTGTGTACAACAACGGATAAACTCAATCAATAGCTTATCTACGGAATAATCAATACAGTACGACATTGGTACAAAATCACATTAAGGAATCTAATCAAGAGTTTCAATGTAAGACATGAAACGATGCTCAACAACAACCATGGACTTCAATCCACTAACAACATGATTGGCAACACGAGTTGCCAATCCTCAATAGGAAGGACAAACAATATATACTAGCATCAACGACATCATATCTAGCATGTTCATCAAACGAGTAAACCAAAACGATTCCAACAAATCTCAAAGACTCACATAAATCCAACGAATCACAAAGTTGGACCATTAGCACGATTCAAGACACCAAATCCTAACATGGATACTTAGGATATCGTTCTAGACATATGAAACATCAAGAAGACACCTAAAAGCTCAACAATCCAACAAAATGAGGTCAAAACATCACATACCAAAATATGGAACCACGAGAAAAAACAACACCCAACAATCCACCATTATTGTACCCCGCGGGTGGGTCCCTACTTGCGGTACCCCCCTCCGGGTACAACTCTTCCACCCGCGGGTGGGGCGGCGGGTGGACATTCGCCCGCGGGGAACACCCGAGTCACAACAATTTTCCCTTCAGGGAAATTCATCTCCACGATCATGTTCAAGTCCAAAACACCCCAAATCTCACATACAACAAGGAAATGACTTGAACCCAAGAATAGATCAAAGAATAGCATTCAAGAACCCTAGATACAAGCTCTAAACATGCATTATCACAATATCATGCATCAAATCTCACATTTACACCAAGAATCATCAATAGAAGCCAATAATCGTCAATAGCAAGTAGAAAATAGATTTTGTATAGCATGGGTTACCTTTGAAGACCAAAACCTTCTTTCTTCTAACCCTCCTAGGCCCTACTTTGAAGCTCTTCTTCCTCACAACTTTCTTACACAAGCCAAACCACAAGAAAACACAAACTTAGATAACGACACCTTAAAGCTAACTAAAACCACTAAATAACTTTAGATCTTACCCTTTCCTAGGCTTGGAAGATAGAAAGGTGGAATCTTGGGATGGATCTTTGCAAGGGTAGATTGTTCTTCTTTTAGCTTGGAGAGTAAGCCAAGATTTCTTAGAGTGAAGGTAGAGTGTTTAGGATTTGGCTAGTAAGGAAATGAATGAAGTGTGTCTTGCTAGGGCAAGCTTAAACACCAATCATGTGTGAAAGGACAAGTTTACCCTTACTAAAAGGCTAGGAAGACAAAAGGCTAGGTACAAAGCACAAAGCAAAAGGTACTCATGTTTGACTAAGGAACTAGTCAACTTCTAGTCCCTTGACTATTAAATTTCAGGATTTTGGAAAGGAATTCACCAAGGTATTTTAGGATTAATTCCTCAATTAATCCTACTTAAGGAGTCGAATTTTCGGGGTGTCACATTCGTGATATTGAGTAATCCACCTTTAATTGCAAAGATTCCCCCGTGGGCATTATTTCCCACCAGTCCACTATCGACGGTACAAAACCCTCTCACTCACGTCGTTTGCATACCGGTGCTTTTGATGGTCGGCGTGTGAATACCAACGTCGAGAAACAACATTCACCGGTGGTGTGGTGTATTCGACTTGATGCAATGTTGGCCCTCAACTATAAGCAGACTCCAGTCACCAGAACCGCCGGCGGAGCTTCCATCCCAAGTAAGTCGTTTCCCCTTAATTCTTGCCGCGTTTTGGAGCCTCAGCTTGGTGCTCACTGTATGCTAATATTCGGCATATGAAAAAAGGCAAAAGTTAGCTTTCCAATGTGGTGTTTGTGTAATTTTGTATATTAGTGGAAGTGATTTAAGAGATTTTTTGTTCTGGTCTCTTAGTTTGGAGGTTGATTATCGATACAAATCAGTGTCACAAAAAAAATAGTTGTGCCTATTGCCCTGTTTTTAGCTGTGAAATTTGTGAAAATTGGTATCCATCAATGCTACTAGCCTCCTAATGATGGGCGTCTTAACAATGTAGTATCACTGTAATATGGTTGTTGATTTAGTTGTGTTGTGTGTGCAGTAGGTGTGTGTTCCGTTTTAAGTAGGAGAGTCTGAAATAGGTATTCAGGATGGTGGTTCTATGACAATATTGTTTTAGTTGTTTGAAGTTGATTGCAGCGTTCCAGTTGTGACTTGGTTTTTTTAAATATTTTTTTTTTTTTGTGTTTTTTGTGGGGATATGGTTGTGGCTCGCTTGTGGTGACACGAATAATTAGTTGTGCCCCAGGGGGGATAGCGTGTGGTGTTTATAGGTAGATGCTTTTGTCCTGCTACTACAGACATATCTGCCATAAATTCATACATTAAAACCCCCACAATACCTAGATTACTTATAGGTGTGCACTGTTGGTGGCTAGCTGGTGGTGATGGCACCACTAGGGACAAGTCGTTTTGGGAGGGCCCTCGGTTTTTTTTATTTTTTTTATTTTTTGCGTACAAGGAGTCTGGGTTCCCAAACTGCACATATCCTTTAAAGATAATGTAGCACGGGTTGCATCCTTATGTCCATATAGCTTATAATAACCATCAGACCAATTATGTTTTGGAAAGTGTGATTATATTAATTAAATATCTGTGGCATTTTTCCCCAACTACTGTGCAAATATATATTTTTATTTTTGCTGAATTTAGGTGAATGTTATTCATATATATTTTCATGTTATATGTAATAAGTGATGCATTGGAATAGTACAGTGAATGAAATGTAAACTAATTTTTGGGTGATACAATGCATGTGAATAGAGTATAGGGTTGTGAGTAATTTGTTGTGCACTCGCAGTTGTTTGGTGTAATTACTATTTTTGGTCACCACTTAGGTCACGTTTCTTTGCTTAACCCCACACACATAGCATACTTTATTGTGACTATCGTTGCTGTTTTTACTGTTGACCGTTATACGTGTTCACATTTTTGCGTTTTGGTTACTTTGTTATAGGGACTAAACGATTGCACGACGGTGTTGCGGGTGATGAGTGCATCGTTATTCGCTCTGGTCGTAGTGTAAGAAAGATAACTAGGATTTCAGATGTTGAAGGTACGATGGAAAACACACCCGTCCACGAACTTTCCCCGTTAGAAGAAGTTAAGTTCCCGTCATTTAACACCCGATGCACACCTAAGGACCTTATTCGTGCTATGAGCGAATTCAATGCACAGCAAAGACAGACAATAACCGACATGGGAATGAGCGTTATTTTGTGTTTGGAAGTTAATGAGATCCCATTGCGCCTAGGATGTTGGTTGGTCAGCGTGTTCAACCCTACCAAAATGTCCAGCGCGAGATAGCTCTACAAATTACAAGAGAAGATGTTAGTGCTGTTCTGGGGCTCTCATTAGGGACAACAGAGATAGTATGTCGGCCTAGTCAGAAAGTGGGGCAGGAATTGCGGAATTGGTGGGCCAAAATTGGAAAGCAAGACAGCACAATAACCTTGAAGAAGGTTTGTCAGGTGATGCTAACCTGTGAGGATGGTGGAGTTTGGTTCAAGCGTCACTTTTACGTGGCTGTTGCTACTGTTTTAATTGAAAGCACACAGAATGGTTACGCCAACCAGCAGTTTTTACACCGGCTTGAAGAAAGTGGACAGGATACAGGACTTAGATTAGTGTGGGTACTTGCTTAAACGGTTAGTCAAAACCCACCATGATTGGGCAGAAGACAAGATGCAACGTTTTACGGGGCTACTCCTATTCCTATTGGTGTGAGACTATTTCTTCAGTTTTTGTGTTTAAATAACAGACCTAAATGGAGCAGCTTTATATAGGTGATTTATTCTTTATAATTTTTTTCTTTGTTTTGATTTTGCCGTTGTTCTACGTAGATAGAGTAGCGTTGGGTCCTCGGGTAATTCCTAGGCGCATTCCTGCCTACATTGGATGGACTGGAAAGCTTTTGAAGGAGCGTGAGTCTGCTGTGATTCGAGCGGGTGGATTTGGGATTGGAGTAGTGATCGAACCGTTACGGGATGTGACCGGAATAGAAGAGCATGGGAGCGGCAGTACAAAACAGATATGTGTTTTATAAATGTCTATTTTTTATGGGGCATGTGGCTGCGGGCGAACATTTGTTTTTTTGCAAACCTTCTGCTTGTTGTCGTTGGTGTATTATAAATAATTATTGCGTCCACTCAGTTGAACTTGGGTGATGATTCGAGGAAGTTCAAATTGTAGGTGTTTGTCGAGTTTTTTGCTGCCAAATCAAAACTCATAGCTTCCACTGTAGAAGAATTGATCGAGATGGTGAAAGAAGCCCCGGATGAGACGTTCGACAATCCACACTTTAAAGAGGCGCTAGATGCTGCCGGGAAGTTGTTAGGCATGAGACGAAGCCAACAACTACTAACTATACAGATTGGCACACAAGACGATGAAGCATTCTGGGTGGAGACTATCGCTGCAACTGATGAGATTGAGGTTGGACACAAGAGAACTGAGGAGGGGTTCGAACCACATAGCTTCAGTTTAGGCTTGACACAAAAATTTGGTAGCCCACAGTTGGGTATCTTATTCTAGAATCCACTAGAATGCACAGGTGGGCAGAATGCTAGCATTTTAGATGTATCAACTGGTGGGTGTGAATTGCGTGGTGCTGTCGGCGATGCGGGTGGTGCAAACAACATTGAGGTTAGTTTGTTAGATTTCCAGAATTCATTATGTCTGTGGTGGTGGCCGTGGTTGATTAGCACTTCAAATAAAGCAGGACCCAAACCTTGTTACACCTCCAATGCATGGGAGGCGCGTGTTTTGTTCGGAGAATAGTGGGCGAGTAGTCCAGGTACTAAACTGTGGTTGAAATATCCTTTTATGTGATTGATTATTGATTTGTCTTGATTTCGGTGGTGACATATCACAGGGCAAACACACAAACAACGATACATTAATTGTTTGTATTGGTGGATCGGGACCGAGGGCGCCATTCAAGGAATTGCTCTGTGATGCAAGGTCAGGTGTTGAGCCTTTGGGGGGTTTTAATTTATTGAATAGGTATCCTGAGGGACATATGGCGGTTGCTCCAATTCCCGATCCCGACCGGTTCTCACTGTGGCAATGGTTCTTTAACCATCAAGACCGGAACTAGTTAGTACCATTTGCGCTATTGTACTCTCTATATACATTACACGGCTAATTCACTGAACACTGTTTTTTTTTTTTTGGTGCTCTTTAAAACACTTTGCAGCACTAGTGAGGTTTTTTCGTATAACGGGAGGCATGGGTAGTTGAAAGACTTCATGTCTTTACAATTTGACAGTGCAATACGCATGCCGGTGGTGGAATGTTGGACGTGCGTTTTGAATGAGTTGGAGAAGGGTAGAAAGCCGGACGCCCCCTACTAGAGTGTTTGTTACGATATACACTTTGGTATGTGATATATGGCCCTTTCTTAAAGGTATTATTTCTGTTACCTAACTACCTATGTCTCTTTGTTTCCCTCGCCACACATTGAATAATTGAGCCGTGTTATTTTATGCACGGGTGACTGGGATGTACGCTTGGGTTCGTTTACTGAACGGCTAGATAAGGTTTTTGAGCATGCACCACATATTAACTGTGCCACTGTAGACCTGGTAAAGTAACCATTTACTAACCCATTGTTTGTTTGCATTTAAAGTAAGTGACCAATCAACTGCGTTTGACGAATTCAAATATTTGAGTGCAGTTTTTCTTCCCCATTGTAAAAGCAGCTCACTATTATGTGTTGTGTGTCAACATGCAGAAGCGTAGGTTTGAAATCATTGACAACTCCCCGGTAGCTGCTAAAAACGAGGATAGATATGGCTTCATCCCACAGGAATTGGTAAGTGTATTGATTGGAGAGTTGGTTAGTTTGGATTGCAATATCGTTTCTGTGGGTTATGGCGCAGTTAATTAAGGGTTGAATTTTTTGACTGTTGTGCAATGAAACTTCCTACGGTGTGATTTAGGTCAAAGGGGGGGGGGGGGGGGGGAGGCATGGCTGGAGTCGCGACTACCTACGATGTGATTCTGACTGTGGCTTCCACTGTGGTGGTAGAGTGATCTTGTTGTGAGTTATGGTTGGGGGGAATGGTGATATCTACTTTGATTGGCCATTGTTTCATTATTTGTTTTTTTCCCTTGGTTTTTTAATTTGGTTTTTATTTTTTCCCCGACAATGCACAGCTTGACCGTATGGCTAGATATAATGAGTTTTATTCCCATTGGTGTACTGAATTCACATTTTGTTTTCCCGTCAGCTCGATATGCTATCAGCATATCTGCATAACAAAGGGCAGGGGTTACGGTCAGCCTTTGTAGACAATATGAGGGCTATACGGATGCAGATGCTGTGGTGAGATTGTAAACACAAAGAAGACTGCAGAGTTTACACAATGAGACACATGGAAGCGTACATGGGCGAGAAGTGCAAAGATTGGGACTGTGGCTTGCAGAAGGGGGACCAGAATGAGCTCCGGAAGCTGCGCCAGAGATACTTGCATGACATATTGATGTCTGAAATCAATGGGCACCGAGAAGCAATTGCTGGATAATAAATGGCTATACATTTTTTCAGCATAATAATGTTATTTTTCATGTCATTCATGTTTTTGGTTTTTTTTTTTATTGATTTATTGTGCGGGTTGTTTTCTTCATACTATTACACAGTGTTGCCTAGTCTTCATTATGGGTTTCACAGGAAAAGCAGCCTAGGCCAGGCAATCTGCACTGTGCTTCTCAAATGAATGGGACCATAATTTTATAGTATTTAAATAAAGACTCTACATTATCATGGTTATTTGTAGTTGGAAAGTTCTGATGTTTATAGTAGTTCGGTAGCTATGGAATGTATTTACGCCGTGTGCAAATATTTTTTTATTAACATCATGCGGCACAGCAGGTTGTAATGCACTACAAATGTAACGACGTGGTACTTAAAAAGCTTATATTGCACAGCAAAAGGTGATATTCGGACTGAGATGCTGGGCTGCTGGCTGCTTAGTCTTTGACTGAGCTTGGTGAAAAACTATTCGAGGATTGATTTGGCTTGGCTTATTCATGAGTTAACTTGGGTTGATCAAATCTTTGGAATCTAGAGTAATTCGGTAGTACTTTATGTTTCTATCCAAGGTGCAATGTGGCCATGTAAAAGAATTGACTTTGATATCTAGAATTTGATTCTCTTCCTGTATGGTTTAGGAGCAAGCTTTCTCATACAGGGTTCAAGTAATTTTTACTATAAAAAGTGGAAATATCAAACATTGGTGTCTTACTTGACAAAGCAATAAATGATATATCATCTATCTATTTCACTAAAAAACATAACTCAACTTCAATTGCTTTGATGTTCTTCATTCACAAATAACAGGGAGGTAAATGAACAACATAGTGCAACATTTGTGCAACATCTGTGCATATCGTTGATTTAATAG